CTGGAGAGCAGGCGCTGAAGCTAGCCTCTCCTGCAATTTCTGAGGTTTCAAAGAAAGCCCAAGAAGCAATACAAAGCTCAGGCTTTGATACACAGCCTGTTCTCGGTGCTGCAAAGGTGTTTACTTTTCTCCATTTTCCACTTAAATAGTTGTGCAGTGTGCTTTAGCTAGGCACTCCTTGGCTGCAATAATCTGCACACAATTAAGTGAAATCGAGCACAATACTTCAGACCATAACTCATGCAATTGAAAATAACTTGTTAATTTTGTGGAGAATCTGTCTTTAGTTGTTACTGTGGTTTGAATTGTTCCATTTCAACTACCTGACTGCATTTCAGATATTAATAAGGAATGCAATGTTCATTTCTAAAACTTGAAATTTTGGAAATGTTGTAGTTTTTGATTCACTATGCCAATGAATGTATTGATAAATTTAATGTAGTTGGAGTTGGTTCACTGTGCAATGCACTCATTCAATTTTAGTGGAACATCCTTCCTAACACTTTCGTATACCTTTATGTGGAGAAAGTAAGACTGTAAATCGATGATATATAGGAAAATGGATAATCATAAGCTATAGATTTGGGTACTAAACACCCTGTTTTCTCAAATTTAATGCACCGACTGAATGATCAATTTGGTCTCAGACGGTAGCGGATGCAGCAGGGCAGACCACTAAAGTAATCGAAGAGGCAAAGCCCATTGCTTCATCAACTATTCAGACCATCTCATCAGCAGATCCTATTGTGATTGCCGGAAGTGCTGGAGCATTATTCCTCACATACCTTCTTCTTCCTCCCATCTGGTCTGCTCTCTCTTTTAGCCTCCGAGGTTACAAAGGTACATGCTTTTATTATGAAACAGAATTGCTTCATGTCTGTAAAAGTTTAAACATATGTGAAACTAGAATAAACAATGACTTGTTCTGCTTGAATAATATATATACCTGCATTTATGCTTATGCACCATATTGACCAATGTGGAATTCAAGTACTTAATGTTTAGAAGATATAGATTGGGTTGAAGATTGCATATTTCATGTTCTGTCTCCACATGTTATGACTTACTCGTCTCTTATGATACTAAATGCATGCAATGCAAGTGAAGCTGCATTAGGATGGAATGGACTAACATGCTATGGCTTTGTTGTACTAACTCTAGGTTCTCTTACTCCCCCTCAAACACTTGATCTCATATCAACAAAGAATTACCTTCTGATTGATATTCGACCCGAGAAGGACAAGGACAAGGCTGGCATTCCCCGCCTACCATCTAGCGCCAAAAACAAAATGATTGCTATTCCGTGAGTAACTTGGCCAGCCTCCTCAACCCCTTAGTTTGTACCCTTTCTGCATCTTCTTAACTATGAATGGTTGCCTCTGATTTTTCAGATTGGAAGAACTACCAAGCAAATTGCGAGGTCTTGTCAGAAATGTAAAGAAAGTTGAGGCTGAGATAGCAGCATTGAAAATTTCTTATCTCAAGAGAGTTAACAAAGGCTCCAACATCGTGATCTTGGACTCGTGGGTTCTTTCATAACCCACATTCATTATTTACTACCTGATTTGGTTTTTCTCTTTGATCAAGTTATGACATTATTTTGTTCTTGTTTCGTTTCATGAACAACACAGGTACTCGGATTCAGGCAAAATAGTTGCAAGAGCATTAACTAGCCTAGGCTTTAAGAACTGTTGGACTGTAGCTGATGGGTTCTCTGGAAGCAAGGGATGGTTACAGAGTCGTTTAGGGGCGGATTCATACAATTTGTCTTTTGCTGAGGTTCTTTCTCCATCAAGAGTCATCCCGGCAGGGGTTAGACTTTTTGGTACTAGTAGCAGCACAGCAGCTCAGTCTGGTCGAAAGCTTCTTCCTGGCTCAGACTAGACTAGCTTCTAAATTTGTTTTCTTTTTTGAAGTCATCTTTGCTTGGAAAATGCTCATCTCTTAATGTGCATACTTGATTTAGAGAAGGGTTCCCTTGAATTATTTCTTGTGTAATTATTCTTTGATCGATGTTAGTTGGTCTATTTTGTAATTCATTTCTTGCCTGTCTTTATATGTAAATGAATGCCCTCATCTCATCTCATGCTTAGAGGCTATGCAAAGATATGCCATAAATTCAAGAGCAACCTAAGACCACTTTCAGGGTGTGATTGTACTATGTTGTTACCACACTATGATTGAAGGCATGAAGGGAAAAAATTTGGTAAAGGAACATTTTGTCCCGCTCTTCTTTCCGTTAGTGTTTCCTAGAAGAAAAGTTGAATTACATTTAATTTAAGAGTAAGTGAATACCACTGAGATTGCAGCCAGTCACCCTACAACAAAACACCAACCAACAAAACCACATATCCACAGATAACCTCCCAATAAGTAAAACCACAAATCCAGTAGATAGGAAAGGGGAAAAATAAGTAGGGAGGTAAGGAAAGAGAGAGGGAGAGAGGGGGTGGAGCCCTCCTTCCCCCTCTCCCCGGAACACACAACGCAAAAGAGGTTTGAGAGAGAGAATGGAGGCTAGGGTTTTTGCCTTTTCCTTTCTTGTTTAGATTTTACCTTTTTTTTATGAAAGGTTGAAGAATACCGCCATAGGAAAAAGTGACTTTTGAATTCTCTCTTTGGCGGTTCAGTTCAGCTTCTGCCAAGCACGCCCGAACTCGTAAAAGCAACAAACACAAACTCGCTCGCTAATCAACATTACACAACTCAGACAAACACAAACTCGCGAATCGACAGAACACCCAAATTCTCTCTCTAACTTTCTCGAGAAGCTTCCAATTTCCAACCCCAAACCTCCATCTTTCTGTCGCTTGCCATTCAAGAAGTCGAAGAAACCCCACTCTCTGATTGCAAGAGACATTTATGGAGAATCGAAAGGCCCCAATTTCTGAACGCGTGAAACAAAAGGTAAATGCAGACTTTGCTTTGTGTTGCTGCTGTCATTAGATTAAATCAAGAACTTCAAAGAACCATGCATTAACTGAGATTTCTGAATGGGTACTGCGAAATGCAGCGATGATTGCGTTTTCAATGCATTCAATAACTTCATTACCTCCAATTTCTGGATACATACAGGAAAATGTAGAGATTCTTGTGTTTTCAATGAATTCAATTACTTCATAGAACCATAATTACTTCCAATTTCTGAATACATATAGGAAAATGTAAAGATTCTTGTCTATTCAACGAATTCAATTACTAACCATAATTACTTCCAATTTCTGAATACATATAGGAAAATGTAAAGATTCTTGTGTATTCAACGAATTCAATTACTTCATTGAACCATTAATTACTTCGAATTTCTGAATGTGTACAGGAAAATGTAAAGACTCTTGTGTTTTCAACGAATTTTATAACCTCATGGAACCGTTAATCACCCCCAATTTCTGGGTCAACCGAACCCCACCATCTCTTGTTCGGGTTTTAGTTTCTGATGGGTTTTAAGTCCCCTCTTCGATTTTAATTTTTTCTTTTCTTTTACTAAACTGATCTGTGGTTTAGTTACTAGTTTCTCTCTTTATGTTGTTACTTTGTGGATGTTTTTTCGTGTTCCCCTGCTTTCTTCTGGTTTGAATGAATTTCATTTTTGACCAAAGGAAAAAAATAACTTCGTAGATGCATGACTTTCCCCCAAATTCTGAATACTTACAGGAAATGTAAGGACTTCCTTGGGTTTTCATTGTGTTCAATAACTTTCATAGAACTATGAAATGAAATGACATCCCGTAACATTTTTAATTTTGTTTTCTGTTCTTTAGGATCTGGACAACTTGTGGAATTTGCCGAATGATTTTCTGATCAGATTTTGTCTCTCTTGCCCTTAAGAGGAAGTTGTGGCAACTAGTGGGTGGATGGTGTGGTGCAGAGTCATATAGGCCCAACCATTGAGAAATTGACGTATGTTTCCTTGAATTTTTTTTTTCCGCGCATTTAATTGACAAGTGGGTCCAATTTGCAATTAAGAAAAGTGTTCAGATTATTGTGTTAGACTTTTCTGAATATTCACACAAATTGATATATTTGAGAAATTGGTTTTCTAACGTTTAATATAAGCTTTTGGTTATAGTGAATATCGGGCTCTTAAATATCTTTATTTGAAAAGTGTTAAGGTGACAAGAAGAGATATTGAGTTTGTGTTGTCTAGCTGCCCTCGCCTTGAGCGATTAAAAGTGTTAATTGCCCAAATTTGACGAGTTTGACTGTTGTTAGTTCACATTTTGGTTTGAACTTGAAGTGTTTAGCAATAGAAGCTTGGCAAGATGAGATGTCCCACTGCTTGTTGAGGTGTCAATATCTGAGCGTGATGACATGGTTATTGATGATCACGTCATTACGGTCAGATATTGACACCTCAACCAGCAGTGAGACATTGCTCAACACTAATTCTATACGAGTCACATAATAAGAAAATGAAAAAAGATTTGCTTCAGAAATTCAGATGTTGTACATCCCATCTTGCCAAGCTTCTATTGCTAAATACTTCAAGTTCAAACCAAAATGTGAACCAACAACAGTCAAACTCGTCAGATTTGAGCAATTAGACACTTTTAATTGCTCAAGGCAAGGGCAGCTAGACAACACAAACTCAATATCTCTTCTTGTCACCTCAACACTTTTCAAATAAAGATCTTTGAGAGCCCGATATTCACTGTAACTAGAAGCTTATATTAAACGTCAGCTAGACAACACAAACTCAATATCTCTTCTTGTCACCTCAACATTTTTCAAATAAAGATCTGTGAGAGCCCGATATTCACTGTAACCAGAAGCTTATATTAAACGTTAGAAAACCAATTTCTCAAATATATCAATCTATGTGAATGTTCAGAAAAATCTAACACAATTATTTGAACACTTTTCTTAATTGCAAATTGAACCCACTTATCAATGAAATGTGTGGGAAAAAAAAAGGGAAACATACCTGAATTTCTAGATGGTTGGGCCTATATGCCTCTCTATTCTTGTAAGTTCAAAATTCTTTTAAAAAGAAAAGAAGATTGAAAAAGTATATCATATGAATGAAGGTATTATATTATTAACCATCTTTTTGGGGTAAATAAATTTAACCCAAACTTTTTTTTGGTGTGAATAAATATTACCAACCTATGGCCCATTTTTGCACATAAAGCCAAAGGTAACACACACCGCAGCATTACCTGTGTGCCCATAAAATACACAAACCAAAAAGAAAAGAATAAAAAACGAAAGATGAACCAGCAACCTACCAGCCTGTGATAAGCTGAAGCTCTGTTATCTGCCCTCGCCTTACCTACCTTAAGCAGCGCAGTAGAGTAGGGGAAATGGCGTATAAAAGCCTGGACCGTGTCACCGTCTCCGACGTCGAAGCTCTGGGGATCGAATCAGAGACTGCCAAGAGACTCCATGCAATTCTCACTAACATTATCCAAAATTACGGTCCTGCCACTCCCGACACGTGGCGCAAAATCACTGCCCATGTCCTCAGCCCGGAGCTTCCTTTCTCCTTCCACCAGATGTTGTACTACGGTTGCTATAAGGACTTCGGACCTGACCCGCCCGCCTGGCTACCCGACTCGTAAGTTCTCAAACTCAGTCGTTTTTATATTTCAGTACTTGGTTTTACGTGGAGTGAAGTTCGTTTAGAAAGGGAGTGTTTGGTTCCCTTGAAAGTTGTGATGTGGGAAGTCTTAGAAGTTCCTGCACTGAGATTTATGTGTGTATCTGTTTGTTTGTTTTATGGCTGTTATGGAAATAAATTCTGAAATTGCATCTCTTGTTGCGTGGTAAGGGAGACTGCAAATTTAACAAATGTTGGCCAGCTACTGGAAAGGCGGGGAAAAGAGTTCTTAGGATCTAGATATAAGGATCCCATGTCCAACTTTTCCGATTTTCAGGAATTTTCGGTCTCAAACCCTGAGGTAGTATGTATGAAATACTGAGGTTGATTATCTATTTGGAAAAAGAAAAAAGACTTCAAATCAATTAGTTAGATACTCATTTTACATATCCGGTTCCTGTCTTCTATTGGTCAGGTTTATTGGAAAGCTGTACTAGATGAGATGAATGCATCATTTTCTATACCTCCCCAATGTATTTTACGTGAGAACCTGTCTGGAGACGGCCAGTTATCAGTTCCAGGAGGTCAATGGCTTCCTGGAGCGTTTGGGAATCCAGCAAAAAATTGCTTGAGTTTAAATCGTAAGAGGAGCTTGAATGATACGATGGTGATATGGCGTGACGAAGGAAATGATGATCTGCCTTTGAATAAGATGACACTTAAAGAATTGCACACAGAGGTTTGGTACGCTAAGTTTTATCATCTTGAAGTCATTTCCGATAGTTAAATTTATTTTTTATTTGCACCTATCACTAGAAATATGAATATGTGTTTATGATGGGATATTTTTTTAAACAAGTATATTTGGTGCTATAATTTGTAGGTTAGTTGCACATGCACTGAAGGCACTGGGTTTGGAGAAGGGATCTGCAATCGCAATTGATATGCCAATGCATGTGAATTCTGTGATTATCTACCTAGCTATTGTTCTGGCAGGATATGTCGTTGTATCAATTGCTGACAGTTTTGCTCCTCCTGAAATATCAACAAGACTTAAAATATCAGAGGCAAAAGCCATATTTACTCAGGTTCATACCTTTTCACTGGATAGCCTAAAATATTGCATGCTACATTTTCATTTTCCATAAGTTGTACGAGCATCGTGATGTGTAAACTGGAGGCATTTGAATTATTATAGTATACTAATTTTTCATTTGAAATAGCTCCCTGCAGTTTTGCCCTGTATCTTACTTTCACATTATGATACAAAAGTTTTTTTATTTTATATATATTAATGGGAGATTGCTGTAGTGACATGTATGTTCAACTTGGTAACCCAGTATGATCTACTCACTGAGTTGAACAGGCCAAACATGACTTACAAATTGAGCCTTTTGAGTCTCAAGTCCTTTCTTAATAATCTTCCCTTTGCTTTTTGGCTTTTTGGTGGTTAGGATCTAATAGTTCGTGGCGAGAAAAGTATACCCTTGTATAGGTGAAGTACTCTAGCTCTGAGTTGAAATAGACTGTTTATGCTTTTCTTTTCCAGACAGTGTCTCTCACATTATAGCTTCAAATGTGCAGTAAAATTGTGGCAGCACAGTCTCCTATGGCAGTTGTTATCCTTACAAAGGATTCCAATTCTAGCATGAAATTGCGTGATGGTGACATTTCCTGGCATGATTTTCTAGAAACAGTAAAAGATTTCAAGTACGCACTCAAATTATTTCTTCCTTATCTTTTTTGTTTCTAAACAGTATCTAAGTTAATGAAGTTGTTTCCTTTGTCATTTTCTAACTATAGCTTGCTTTTATGCATCATCGATTTTTTCCTTTAAAGAATACTCATGAAATTCATAACTGGAAAGGCACTCTTAATAATTGAAATGAGTTTCAGTCATATAGATGAACGCATGAAGTTTCTGCCTTTTGGGGATGTGCATGATTTGGTTTCACTCATACGAGTCAGTATCATTAAAAACTCATCCCATCTCCATTCTTGGCTATGGAGTAGGTTTTTCTTTGACTTTGTTATATTGGATGGGACCCTCTTTAAGATCGTCAACTCTGAGCATGTTTGCGTACTTGATTCATAACATAATTATCTTGAAAGAACATAATTATCAGTCTGATCTCCTTCGAATAAATAGTGAGGCTCTGATGTAATATTGTATTTGTTCATTTTTCAATCTGCAGAGAAGATGAATTTGCTGCTGTAGAACAACCCATAGAAGCATTTACAAATATCCTCTTCTCATCTGGAACTACCGGTAATTTGACCATTGAAGCTTAACTTAAAAAGTTTTGCTTTTGTAAATTCATGTTGTTTTTTCATGAAAAATGAATTTCCTTGTGCATTTGGTTCAAGAGTAAAAAAGAGGAAACCTAATATACATTTCCTAGCTTACTAAATTGTTGCCGCCTTCAAAACTTGAAAAAGGTTATATGGTCCAGCAATAGTCTTAATTGGGCTTTATCTTTACTGTAGGGGAGCCAAAGGCAATCCCATGGACCCATGCGACTCCTTTCAAAGCTGCTGCAGATGCCTGGTGCCACATGGACATCCGGATAGGTGATGTTGTTTCTTGGCCCACAAATCTTGGGTGGATGATGGGCCCTTGGCTGGTATATGCTTCATTGTTAAATGGAGCTTCCATTGCCCTATATAATGGATCCCCTCTTGGATCTGGTTTTCCCAAGTTTGTTCAGGTAGAAAATTGTGCAGTTGTGATAAGATATTCTTGCTATTTGTCTAAATGTGTTAGAATATTTTGTTATTCATATTTGTTAAGTTCCCCCTAGTTTTGCCAACTGGAATGGCTACCTTTTGTGTGATTGGTTGTATGTTTATATTCAAGTAGGCCTTGCCATTTGCTATTTCTAAGTCAGTGCGATAACTTTGTAATACAATTTTACTTTAGAATATTCTTGGTCCTACCATTATATCATTTTGATTGGTAATATTGGAAGCTTAAACACACCCTGGTTGTCACTGCCATTCTTTAAGCTAGGTCTTAGGGGCGAGTTAGCAGCTTGTTCACTCTTTAAGTAGTTTGATCCTCAAAACACACAGAATACATCTTATCCTTTTCAATAAGAAAGCCTTTTCCCACTTGTATGCATCATAATCCTTTCCTTCCCTGCCTGTGTAAACTGACTTTTGCCACAAGAACTCTGAAACAAATCTTTTGGAATAGCTAGGTTGTGTGAGTAACAAATATTGCTACCTGTTTATAATGCAATAAATTTTCATCAAGTATTCATAGGATTTTAGGCATTTAGGATATTTTAGTTGTAAATGCTTTCTTACAACTAAAACTCTTGCAATCTGTCTAGGACGCCAAAGTTACAATGCTTGGTGTAATCCCGAGTATTGTTCGAACATGGAAGAGTACAAACTCTGTTTCTGGCTATGATTGGTCCACCATTCGGTAAGTTTTAGTTGTCTTCATTGGTATGCACCATATTTTGTCTCTAAACATCTGGATTCTTGCATTGTATCTTAATGGAATAAGTTTTATGTCAGTAATGAAGCCATAATTTATTCTCTTTCCTTTCCCTGAAATCTGGTAGTTGCTTTGGGTCCACCGGTGAAGCATCAAATGTTGACGAATACCTATGGCTGATGGGGAGGGCTTGCTACAAGCCTATCATTGAGTATTGTGGTGGTACAGAGATTGGTGGTGGTTTTGTTTCTGGGTCATTGTTGCAGGCTCAGTCGTTGGCTGCTTTTAGCACACCAGCTATGGGCTGCAGTTTGTTTATCCTTGGCAATGATGGTATTCCCATTGTAAGCACCAAAATACCTCACATTTCAAAGGAAATTTTGTGTCCATACTTTTCAATTTGTTGCAAGTGTTCAATAGATGTGCAAAGTAGACACGTACTGCATACTCGTACTTACTCGTAAACTTATTGTAGAAAAACCCACCAGTGCATCCACTTTATTACCAGATGCAAGTTTTGTTCATGCACTTCATAAGCGGTAGTGCATTATAATTTATACCACAGCCTACAGGGAAATCATGAGTTTGTTTTGCAAATCCATGTCATTTCTCTATCAAGATTTGGAATATCCACTTAACAGCTTATTAATTTCACATGCAAATACTATTACATTTCCATTGTATTGATGAACTATTGTCAAGGTGCACAGGTATCATTACGTATGACCACTGACATTAGTTGCACAAGTGTCTTCTTCACATGAAATTTTGTCAACTAATCGTGTTTGGCATTTGACATGACTAATTGAGTAGTTTCTTATGGTATTTCTTCCTGTTCTGGCCGTTCTGGAACTTCTTCTGTCTAAAGTCATGTCTTCTATTGCAGCCACAAAATGAACCAGGGGTTGGTGAATTGGCGCTTGGTCCCCTTATGTTTGGAGCTTCTGGTACATTACTGAATGCTGATCATTATGATGTTTATTTTAAGGGAATGCCATTCTGGAATGGGAAGGTAAACAACTTTCTTCTTCACTTGGATACCAGTATACCATCAAGCTCACATGGGAAGGTAAACAACTTTCCATGATTTTCCAAAATGCAGGTTTTAAGGAGACATGGGGATGTGTTTGAACGGACATCTAGAGGTTACTATCATGCCCATGGTCGTGCAGATGATACAATGAATCTTGGAGGCATCAAGGTAGGCACTAATTTTGGAAACAAAACAGGATTGGAGTTCAATGTTAGGCTAGGCAGAACATGAAATCTAACCTCGTTCCTGTGCTAGGAAGATGGTGGTTCTGAATTTGTGTGTTCAAAAGGTGCTCTGTTTGTTGATATCATAGAGAGCATGTGTTTTGTAATTTAACCCAATGCATTAACCTTCTTACTATTGCTTCAATCAATGTAAACAAACTACTCATTGACTTAGTGACTTGCAAGTTGCATGTTTATATAAACAACCTAGCCTTAAATGAACTCATAAATTACAATAAAGGTTGGTTCGCTCTGATGTCCAGCACTCCATTTTGTTTGGGCAGGTTAGTTCAGTTGAGATTGAACGAATCTGCAATGAAGTTGATGGCGATGTCCTCGAGACAGCTGCCATCGGGGTCCCCCCTGCTGTAGGGGGTCCTGAGCAGCTGGTACTTGCTGTTGTATTTAAGAATTCAGATAACCAAACTGCAGATTTGAATCGGTTGAGAACGTCCTTCAATTCAGCTGTGCAGAAGAAACTAAATCCGCTGTTCAAGGTATTGATTTCTGCTCTGCTCACGGTTACGTTTACTTCTCTTTCTCGTTTTGGTGGTCAGAAGAGTTAGCTTAGCTGTGCAGCCTTACACTTTCCTTGGCTGGTGCAGGTTTCAAGAGTTGTGCCTCTCCCATCTCTTCCAAGGACAGCAACAAATAAGGTCATGAGAAGGATTTTGCGGCAGGAGTTTGCTCAACTTGACCAAAGTGCTAAGCTATGACAAATCATTAATTGATGTACAAAGATATGCCAGGGAGACGAACAAAATATTGTTGCACAATGTTTCATCCCTCCGTACTTTGGGCCGCTAATGGGCCACTTTGTTAATTTCGGCAGTTAATGGGACTCAATTTTGTAATTTGGGCCGCTAATAAGCAACCTTTTGCAATTTGGGCGTTTGATGGGTCTCAATTTTGTACTTTGGGCCACCAATGGGTCTCATTTCCACAATTTGGACCGTTAATCCTCAATTTAGTCATTTGAGTCGATAATGGGACTCGTTTCCACAAATTGAGCTGTTAATAGGACTCAATTTTGTAATTTAGGCGGCTAATGGGCCGTTAGTGGGCCTCAATCTTGTAATTTGGGCTACTAATGGGCCTATTTTTTGCAAAACTTTGTGTCTCCTCCCGTTGCTATTCTAGCTGCCGGAACAGTGGAGAGGTGGTTTGGGCTCAGTGGAGAGACAAGGAGGCCTTTGCACAGTTTTGCACCACATAGAGCATGCTGCAGTAACCATTCTTGATGGTTGGAAGGTAGCAATTGTAAATCAACAGGGGAGGCAGCTCCAATCGCCAAAATTTATAAATAACTATATCGGTAGAAGTAATCATATTAGCTTGTGATCATTTGGTTTATAAATGGGACACACTCAAAGTAGTTAGTTGGAGTGCCGGATTTTGGTTGGACTTTTCTGGTTCTCAGGTTCTTAGTTTGTCTATAGTTATTGACTTAAGTAACAAAGTTCTCAAATCAGCTCACATTAGTTTTGTATTGGGTCAGTTATCATGAAAAATATTGTACATGGCTTTGGCTTTACATCTTTACTGTCTTCTGATTTTTCAGTCTGTATAAATAACATACTGTTGGTGTTAATTGGATTTCTTCTGTAAGAAAAAAAAAAAATTTGTCTGGACTCGAAGGCCGGCACATTGGCAGTCAATTAAGATACAGCTCTTTGCTGCATTCCCTGTTCAGGTTGATGGGTTCAGCAACCATGTACATTGGCTATATCCCATTGTGGCCGGCTGAGCTCTCTCTCTCTCTCTCTCTCTCTGGACAAAAGGATCTTGATTAGTCTCAAGAAATTTAGGCTTTACTTGCGCTAGTTCCTATAGATTCTCTTCCAATGACAATCAGTGTATAGATAAACCAATCTCTACTTTGTCATATCGTCTCATGTGGTTGTGATGTGCAGGCCTTCATGTGAAGAGGGCTGCTGAGGAGCCACTTGGTCATGCAGCTGCCATTATCACTGATGTTGTTGAGAATGCTAAGACCAACCATGTAATAAGGGGAGTGGAGAAGCGAGCTCTTCTTTTGTATCTTCCTTTTCTTTCTTTCAGAAATATTGACATGTTGTATACCACCATATCACCACATGAATCTTTCTTTTTGGTGGTTTTAATAGGATGCTTCTAGTTGGAGCATGGTTGTAAATGAACCTTGTTCAACATCAATGGAAAGGGAACCTCACACAGTTTTGTCTAGTCCATAACGGACTAAGACCAACTGCTATGCATTGTTTTTGCATTTTACAGCTTTGATTTATAAGGACGTTTGGATTGAGGAAATCATATATTACAAGGCTTGCAGTTGAAGTGGGTATGAAATTACATGTTCGGGTCAGTTTTGATGGCAGACTAGAATATAATACAATGCTTAATTATGCTATACATAGTTGATCAACTGCAGGCAAGTTGGGGAGGGAAGAGGACTTGAAATCAGTCATTCCTTGGCTTGTTTCTTGAGAAATTGCTTCACTTTCCTCATGCCCTTGTCTTGTCACAAACCCCATAGAAGAATTCTCTTGGGTGTCTTGACACTTTGTTCGGAAATACGACTCAAGCCTTGTGTATAGATATAGAAGGGTGAATTGAAGCATGAATGGCTTTGTTAAGTTGATGAGTCAAAGCTCGGAGCTCATACGAGTGATATAAGGTGCTACCGTTGTGCCTGGAGCTCAGCCTCCATAGAAGGAAATATGTATTTCTATATTTAACGAGTTTCGCCGCGCGGCTATACTGTTTAAATATTTAATAGTATAGCCGAGCGGCTATACGGTTATTCGAATATTTAATTCTTATAGCCGCGCGGCTGCACTTTATATATTTTAAAAGTTAACGAGTATAGCCGAGCGGCTATAAATTTTAAATATATTCGAACATTTAAATAGTAAAGCCGCACGGCGATACTATTTTAATTTATTTTAATATTTAAAAAGTATAGCCGAGCGGCTATACGATTTAAATATATTATATATATTGAATACAAATTAGTAAAAGAAATTTAATATTAAAGGCTAAAAGCTATAACTGTTCAGAAAAAAAGGGGTGCGCTGTGCGCTTCGCAGCATAAGATAGCAAGGGTCGGTTTAATTGGCTGGGTTGAAAAACACAAGGTAGCGGATATTGTTTCTCCTCTTCCAACCCAAGCCCTGTTTGATTCACAGCTTCATTAGCTATTTTTCATGGCGTCCGACAATCATTGAAATTAGGGTTTTCTCTGCGCACACTTCATCAGCAAACCATGGTCTCCCTTTCGGTCTCGACCCCTAATTTCACCACCCCTTTCATCGGCCAAAAACTGTACTCTCTCTATCTCTCTGCGTTTGTGTGTATATGTCTGTGATTATCTATGTTGATTTAGCTTTTTTCTTGCTTTGCTTACAGTACTTTTCGTGCAAATACAAAGACGCTGCCAACATCTTACTCCCCTGTACGAACCCCTAGATGTGCTGCCGATACATCTTATGGAGGTATTCATTTCAATCTTTCTACATATATGCACATTATTCTAGTGTTTTGGGTTTCATTCTCCGGATGAAAATTAGTTCTTTTTGTTTATATGGAGAATAATTTGAGGGGATTTTTATTTTTATTTTTGTTATTGGAACTGCAATTGTCTTGTGGGTAATGTTAGCATTATCTTTTCTATTTACTGCCTACTTCCATTGTTTCAACACCCAAAATTTAGATTTTAGGACACAGCATCTTGTAGTAAGCGTAGAAGGGACTAACTACTGATGCTGCTAGTTGACATTTAACTGATGGCAAGTTCTCATGGTCTTGATTATACCCTACCCATAAAATTTATGCTGGATAAGTAGTTTAGTATATCTACCTTGGGAGTTCCTCGTGGAGAAGTATCAAGTGATTCTTTCGGCCCCTTCAATCATTTTTTCACTCCTTTTCCTTTGTCTTTGTAGGTAATGTTCCAAAGTTCCCTCGAACCAGCATTTGGGATCCCTATAAACGTCTTGGTGTAAGCTATGATGCTTCTGAGGAAGAAATTTGGGGATCACGAAATTTTCTCTTGCAGCAGTATGCTGGACATGAGAGAAGTGAAGAATCAATTGAATCTGCTTTTGAGAAAATCTTGATGGCCAGCTTCACACAGAGGAAGAAAACAAAGATTAATTTGAAGAGCAAGTTAAAAAAGAAAGTTGAAGAGTCTCCACCTTGGGTTAAGAATCTGCTCAATTTTGTGGAAGTTCCACCTATTGAAGTCATTTTCAGAAGATTGTTCCTCTTTGCGTTCATGGGTGGCTGGAGTATCATGAACTCAGCTGAAGGTGGACCTGCTTTTCAGGTTTGTTCTAAATTTTATGTAGTAATTAACAATGTTCTAATGCACTTTTGTTTTCTAATCATACCTTTGCTGATGCCATTTTTATCAATTCTGTTATAATAGTGAATCCTTTGGTCATAATAATGAACTTTGTAGGCTATTATGTGCCTGTGTTCACAGTGCACCTGATTTTTTAAAATATATTTTTTAATAACTTTGTAGCTTAGATTTGAAATTTGTTTTACTTGTGACTGATTTGTGCACATGTGGGGAGTGTTACTATTTTTTTAGACATTGATCTTTTGGGGGGCTGTTCTTATATGTCCTTTGAACCTTTCATGGGACCTCTTCATCTCTGTTCCCTATATTGGTGATGTCTTTGATTAAGTCCAAATGGTTGAAACAGAAAATGTTAGTGGCATTGTGGCAGTTTCTTTGGCAAACAAGGCTTCACTCACACAATCACACAATCAGTGTTAAAACTTTGAGACAGGCCTTTCTCCATATAGCAAATGCCTATCTTCTAGTATAGGCTGAATTCATCTTTCTCCCATCACTTACAACTGAACCCTAGATCCTCTCCATCCGTCCGAGTGCTTTTGCACCATACTAGATAAATAAACCCTTCGTCTATGTCAGTGTATTTTATTAAAATATTACAATTTGCATTTGAGAACTCAGAAAATACACTGCAATGTTGCTGTCCCTTAGTTTCTGTGTTAAATGAAATCTTGTTACTACAGGTGGCAGTCTCCTTGGCAGCTTGCATATATTTCCTCAATGAGAAGACAAAGAGCTTGGGCAGAGCTTGCATTTTTGGGTATGTTTGCGGTGGATAGTGACAGTAGCTGTAGTTCTCAACTTTTTTCCCCTCTCTTCTCTTCTCTTACTTACATTGGCTCAATCGCAGGCTTGGAGCTCTTGTGACTGGCTGGGTATGTGGTTCGGTTTTGGTACCCAATATTCCGTCAATGCTATTACACCCAACTTGGACTCTCGAGCTTGTAACGTCACTCGTAGTATATGTGTTCCTGTTTCTTGCTTGTACCTTTCTCAAGTAGTAGAAGTCAAACTGTTTTGTCAGGTTCATCCTTTAAGATTTATATGCATCTGATAATTGTGAACTGAGCCAAGCTGTATGTTTCATTCTAATGATTTTTGAGGCCGCCACTTTACTGCTCTTTATATATTGAGTGCTCAGAAAATTTGGGATGATTTGCCGTGGCATCGCAAACAAACGCTCTTTTGCGACGGTCAATCCAAGTGGCCTAATTTTTTTTAACTGAGAATGTCATTGTTTTGTATATTTGAAAGTAACTTGAGCATCCACAATGGGCTCCTTAAACCACCTCCTTAGATAAATTTTAGGGAGGAATGATAAAAATGCAATTCCAACCACGCTCCCTATCCATCTCCTAAAATAGGGAGTCCTCTAGGAGCTCCTAAATTTGAGGAGAGAGAAAGGACTCCTAGTGGCTCCCTATAATTTAATGTGTCTTTGTTTAATGAGTATTTCAAACATTTATTTAATGCTAACTATTTTTTATTTTATTTTTTAATAGAGATGGACCAATCAAAAAAGAGTTATAGCATTTATGACTCTCCAAATTAGGGAGTATGGTTGGAGTTGAAATTTTTTAGAGAGCTCTTAAAATAGCTTTATTATATTCTTAGCCAAATTTTAGCTAAGAAATAGAGAGCGTCATTGAGGATGCTCCGTTGCTAGAGTGCGCACTGATCTAAGCTTAAAAGGAAAATTTGAAAAAAAAAAAAGTGAGGAAGGAGAAATTGAAAAGATAAAAAGAAAAAGAATATTTTGACGATTTGGTATAGTGGGGTTGGATTATAGGAGAGGGAGACAAGGGCCCAACTGGAGAGAGAAGCCCAGCCCATCATCATCATATTGGGTCAGCCCATCATCATTCTCATGCAAACAAAATACGTGCGAACTCTTTCACCCTGATGTGATGATTGAGATTGTACGTAAAGAAAAAGAAGGCTAAGAACTTTAAATCCAACACAAGAAAGAAATCAGAATTTCGAAGATGCAAAATAACTGATTAAATAAGTACTTGAAGATCAGTTCAATTCTAGACAATAACAACAAACAGTACCTCCTCTATATATAACTAGGATGAACATCTTAAATAATAAAAATTAGTATAATTAAACTCCACCATTAATAATAATAATAATTATAAAAAAAACTAACACTAGCAAAGGAAAGGTTTGAGATGTCAAGGGCCGCCTCTGCCTCTATATTTGTTGTAGACGTTATAAGTAGAGAAGCGGTTGTTCTTGGAAGCACAGCAGCCAACGCAGTAGACGAGGGTGACGAGGACAAGGAGACAGGTGTTGAAAAGAGCCAAACGCCTCCACTCCTTCCTAATGTTGGCCAGCACTCCTCCCTTGCACGACTGGCAATCGTAGCATAACGTCTTCTGCTCATTGCTCCATGTCTTGCAGTCGCTGTCTTCCACTTCCGGTCCCGATTTCGGCACCACCCAGAACGTTGCATTCTTGAACTCGTAACCGCAGTAGGACGGGGGCTTGCAACAACCAGACTGAAAATTATAATTAAAATCACGAATTAAGTCAAATAATAAATTAAATTAAATTAAAACTAAACCGCGAAAATGAATGAATATTGAACGTACGTACCTGTATAGGAGACAAGTTCTTTTTGTAAAAGTCGGACTGGGTCTGATGAACATCGTTGCCAAGGCTCCTGCAAACCTGCGCATCGATCAAACAACTCTTGATGGGCCCCCAGTTCTTCCCATTCACCACATAATGCTGCAGCCAATGCGAGAAGTCTCCGATCTTATACTCCTTGTACCCTCTCCCCGACACCGCCTTCCCAATCCCCTTGTTCGTCACGAATATCGCGAAAACCGTGAACCCGATGAGCCCCACTATCACCAAGAATATCACGGCCAGGTATATGTAGAGAAGCGAGTTGAGGCGGCAGCACGAACCCAGTAGGCCTAGGAGAGAGACCACGAAGAAGAAGATGCCGAGGATCAGGAGAGGGTTTTGGAGAACTTTCTGGCAGTTGGTCCCGCCATGGACGTGGAAGTAGATCGACGCCCCTATCGAGGCCAGCCCCAGCAGCAGGAACAGTGAGTTCAGGATCCCGATCACCGTGTTGCTTACGCGAAACATTGATCGATATGAATATGATGATGAAAAATTAATCAATGAAACAGTGATTGGTTTTTTTGTGACTGAGAAAAACGAAAACCCTAATTTGATTTACAGAATGAGAATTGAAAATGAAAGACGAGAGAGAGAGAGAGAGAGAGAGAGCACGTCTCTTGTTTCTTCTTTGTTCCTTGTTTGTGTTGCTTATCCGTAAGAGTAACTGTTTTATAGAAGAAGTTTAATACTACGCAAACGGTTGCAAACGTTGGTTTTTCAATTTGAATCGGTGTCTGCGAATGGGCCTGGGATTTGAATTTATTTACGGATTTGGGACTCGTTGCGCGTTTTTGAGAGTGGGTGGCAACAGGTGTCGTGGCTGTAGGAGGACACGTCATGTTTACCGTTGTACTATGGGGGGTAGTCAGAAAGTACTAGAATGACCCTGGAACTCAATTTGAAATGGACGTGCGAATTGAGCGATGCACGTAGTGAAGAACGCCTCTTGTTTAGTAGGGACGGTTGGTTTGTTTCATGGTTTGACACTTTGACGTGATCCGAAACTCATAATCCATTCATTTCTGACGTGGAATTTCATCATTTTACACTGATTAAATACATGATTAGTACTAATTAAAATGGAAGGGGTACATAATTAAGAGGGTTGGTATGAAATAAAAGTGTTAGTGGATTCCTTGCTTTGTTGGTTGGATTGAAGAGAAAACCACAAATAGTGTGATTGTACAAATTTTTATCCTAACAAAACTCTTCTTCTATTACTAGTTGCTTAATAGGTTTGGAATCGTTTCAATTGTATAAGGTGCAAACTTTGTAACTAATGATGGCACCTCAACTGTTAATTATCTTATATTATTATGAATATATAGTGAAATGAAAATCTGACAATGCTTGTTTGTTTAACTTAAAAATAATTTGTAGCTTGGATGTTTTATTTTGTTTGTTTAGCCGGCGATGCTTCTTGTTATAAGGCTTCACTAGAGGGAGGCATATTGTCAAATTAGGTACAACTTGGAGTGAACAAGAAAGAGGGTTAGGAAAAGTTATTGGGTTAGAGATAGAGATAGAGATAATAGTGGATTGATTTGGAGTGAGAAATTGTTTATGTATGGAAATAAATAAAAGAGCGAGCAGGTTGGTTGGGGACGAAGAGTGTAACTAAATACGTAATCAGATAACAGGGGTTAGGTGTAGGACAATGACCATACCATATATTATTCCTTCGTTCAATTTTTTTACTTCCCCAAATGATATAGTTGAGCCAAAGATGCAACAAATCACCTTAATGATCTAGTGAAAGAAAAAAAAAAATTGTATCATCCTTTTGACCACGTGTACGAGTTGAGGCCCATAGTTGATCAAGCGGGAGCCCAATATATATAAATCTCCCTCAAACAAAAAGGGGCCCATCTCATATTTTAAGCCAGATGGGCCCACACAAGAGTCTACTTTAGTGTTGGTAATATATTAAAGTAGGTGAAGGTCCCACCATGCCAACTCAGCAGCCCTTCCTTTATAGTATTGTACACGCACGCACATTGCACGTGGTACACAACGCAGTCTCTCACGAGTCACCGCCTACCTTCCCCTCTCTGTCTCAACGTATCTCCCGAGTCCAACAAGACTCACCAACCCAACAACAACAACAACAACAGCAACATCGACTACCCTCTTTATATTCATCGCACTTCGGCGGACTTTCCCACGCTTTCTCACATTTTTTCTCCCCCTTTATATATCTCCACGCCTAACCTTCTCTCCCTCTAAACTCTTC